TATGGGAACATTGATTTTGTAGCTTCGTTATTAGTCATACTTCATTATATTCGTTGAATGTAGAAGAAAGAAAATAAACATTGTACTCTCTATGTGCCTGAGAACCAACTAGTCAACTTAACATAATCCCATAAATTATAATTTATTTACCATCATGTTTTATATATATGGCTTGGTATAATTATATTTAAGGTATCTCTAGGTTTTGTATAATGGATCTTGTATAAGGATTGATATATCTATATTTATTGTGTCCATAGAATTTGTATATGGTTTGATATAGTTACTATATTACTGTTGCCACAGGCAGTATGACTCATTATTATTAATTACTTTATCGTTTCGAGCTAACGTTTGAAAGTTTTGCTAGATATAGTAAAATTCTGATAATCCTACTATTATATTATCCTATTTTTTGTGCATGGGAATTAAGTGTGAACACACTTATATATATAATATATTTAAGTTGTAAGTGTAGTATAATTGTATTTTGAAGTAAAAGCTGATTTTCCGACAAGTATCAAACAGACGAACCCATCAATAGCACCAGATTCCCTCAGAAAACAAGGATAGTAGTTCTGAATCTGATAACTGAGTCTTTCGAATGTGTGTGTGTGTGAAATAATTAGACCATATAATGATGGTAAAATTAAAATAATCTTTATTATAAGACAAGCAAAACAAAAACGCAGTGTACGTACTTCTTGCACATAGAGAATCACATTTGATTCTACTGGAACATATCTGGCTCCAAAGCTTTCTATCAAACTATCTTCCATCAAACTAAACAAGGTGATCTTAAAATAAGTATTTACTCAAAGAACTGCAGGTAGAACTGAACTAAATAGCTGCTCCTGAATTCAACAGGAAACTTGGTTTCTTTGTCTAGTTGTCAGCATCACCTCGTGAACTAAATTATTTCACATTATCACATTGATTAGCTGTTACACACAGACATTGTGTACTCGGCCAGCAAAGAATATTACAATCGCTAATCCTTTCAATACAGGGGTATTAAGTAACTGCAATATTCTCTCGGGCAGAATAGACATTATCTTCTTATAGAGAACAAAGAAGCAAAGCAACTAGAAAAGGCAGTCTGGATGATTTTCTGGATCATGTGTTTATGTTACAACTGCAAACAAATCAAACAAACGAAACATTTCTAAAATTCATATACAACTAAAGCAGGTAGGAAACATATGATAAGCCTGCATATCACAGTATTATGCAATCTTATTGTTTGCTTAAAATGTTTAAAATCGTTTTTTGGCTTTTGATAGCCATCTCTGGTTGCACTTTGTTGTTAGAAGACCACTAAATTATATCTCATTTTGAAACCCATCGAGCTCTACTAGAAAACCACTAAGTTACGTCACATTTTCAAACCCAGCGTCCAGCTAGTCCTGCTAGACAGACCACTCGACTCGAGTAGATAATGATAAATTTCTTGTTAAAGGATCACTAACTTAGCGACTTATGAGTAAACAAAAAAAAGGAAAACAGAGTTATGGGGAAATAATTTTAGCCATGGCAAACAGCCAAGCGGAATGTTTACACTTTCACTGACTGCTTCATGCTTAATATCCTAAAATATGGGTCACTTTAGACACGAACCTTTGGTTACGTGCCAGAATGTTTCTGTTCTTTGGATATCAGTTTCATTTTCTGTGTTAATTGCTTTTTATACGTAATTGCAAGTCACCGTGTGTTTTTTATTAATAAGTGTTATTAATTCCTTCCTAAAGAAATTAATATAATGGATTTAAGAAAGTTGTAATAAAAAAAAACTGGGTAAAATCATATTAGTTGACAATTGTTAATTAAATTAAACACACGTACATTGGGACAGCGGATAGATAGTATGTGGAAACTTGATTTTTCGATACCTTACTTTGTAGGTTTGTGGTCTGCCTGTTCTCAAACATTTATTTTAATGAATTTGGAACGTTGAAACAACTGGTGGATAAACTAAAAGGAAGATGGAAGATATAAATTAAAGTCTAAACATGGTTTAAGTTGTATATTTTTATTTATAATGAGAATCAGACTTTCAATATTTTAATTATAGGGGCGTATGTCTGCAATAATATATTTCAAGTAATTCCAAGCTATTTAAGGTAAGTAAAATAAGGGCATGTATCTAAGAATGTATCTTTATTAGCTCAATATTTCGCTATTACAGCTTTGTCAGGAGATATCGATATCCTGAAGTTCACTAATTCAATTGAGACTGAATTGGAACACAGTCACCCGTTAATCGAATATTGATATACGTGTCTAAAAGATTCAGATCATATTAAAATAATATTAAACATTTTAATAAAGGAAAACAAACTTAAAATGAACAAATATAAAAGGTTGGTCTCTAGTGTAGGAATGTTAATGGGATTCTTAAGATTTTAATATGTTTGAACTGTGACGAAATCTCTATACACTTTCATAATGGTTCAAATATATTTTTCGACATTGTTTTGTGTATGTATTGATATAATAGGATGAAATAATACTTATAGATACAAGTATAAAGATATATTTTATATACGTAACGTATCTTATTCTAAATCCTATGGTTTTATTAGTTCACCTGTTGATTTACAAATATTATTTACAAGCTGAAATACTCATCAACTATTCTTCACATAGCCAGTAGCAGAAAGAAGAGCATTATTTGAGATGACCTGCGTGTTTATTCAACTTTGGATGGGCATATATATTAGGTCGTCAGGAAATTAATGTCGCTTTTTTTTAGATGAAACATCCGAACAACTTATACCTCTAAACAAAACATTTATTAAATGAAGTAGTCTCCAGTCTTATCGATGATGCTTTTCCATCTTACAGTCAGGTTGTTAATGCTCTGATTAAAGAAATCACTTGGCTTTGAAGCAAAAACATGTCGATGTCTTCTTTAACACCTTCCATACTTACATACG